AATTTCCAGCTGCAAGCTACCACTGATGCTTTGCTTAATTGCAGACAGAGTGGAACAAAACTGATATTTAATTTGCATATAAAACTACAAAATAGGTTGTCAAAATTAGACATGGTAATTCATGGTTGTGTTTTCAAGAGGTGTCTGTCAGAGACCAATAATTTTAGGTTACTGAGTTAAATCATCAGTAGTGCCTTGCTGAACATAACTATTTTGATGGATGATGTCTTGCAGCTGTCAGTGTGTTGAACCCACTTGTTGATGGCTCTCAGGGGACTGGTTTAATGATCGTACAAATGAAGCAAGAGCTAAACTTGGCAAGAAAATGTAATGGAAATTAGGAAAATGTTGGAAAGAAGGAATATTTGTTCCCTGAATCAGCGTGTTTTCACTTATATCTAACAATTCAGAAAACGGAAAAGTGAAAAGGTATTTCTTTTTTCCTGTCATCTTCAATACCTAGCAACTGGCCAAACTCTGCCACTAGCAGGTTGAAACCTGCTAGTAAATAGGTTTGAATAAGAATGTAATTAGCACATAGGAATAAATATGAGAATTGGAAAATGTTGCCAAATTTAACTACAGGACTCAGGATGGTTTTATGCCTCTTAGTGCCTACTACTTTGACAATGACTGGTGACAGTAAACAGCAATTAAACCTTTTGGCCAGTTTGCTGTGCATACGTCATGCTATTAGCCAAGTATGTTTAGAGCGTTAGTGGTTCCATAGCAACACTTCTCTTTGTTTTGCCTGTGTAGCTCTACATTTTAAATGTGTTTGCTCAATCTCTTTGGGGGATTATTTAGCAGAATTAAATCTGTGAGATTTGCAACTAGTTATATTTAATTTCAGACATAATTTCAAATATAATTACTAGCCATATCACTAAGGTTGCCTTTGAAGAGTTATGGTCCTGATACCAACATTTGGAACAGCGACCACTATTTAGAAAAGCAGTATAGTTAGCAAACCAGATTTTCATTTGTCTAAATTTACGCCAACTAAAAACCTGTTCCAGCATCTTTACTGAATTAGCTGAACACTGTGATGCTTAGGAGTTGTACAAAGCCCTCAGCAGCACCTGTGCCTCAGAAGCAAGCAATGCAAGAGGACCAGAAAGAGGGGCAGTTGGTTCAGCAGCTGAACCCTGACCACACCATGCCAGAGTACAGAGAGTGCTGGAGCCATTTTGGTCCCCTCTCGCCTCGTGTATGTCCCCAGCACGCACTTTGTATGTATGGTGGAAAGGGGCTTTTGTTTGACTTGACGTGTCACGGGCATGTGTATAACAAGCCTTCTTAAAATTACAGCAAGTTTAAACCTTCTGTTGCCCTTCTGGGGGTTTTTCAATGCCTGAATGATGCTTGCGTCCTTTATAACTGTTTCTATTTCTTGCTGTAAGGAGCTTTGCTACCACTTTGTCCTTGTCTTCATGAACTCCCAAATGATCCCCCCTTCCCTGATTTTCTTCCCCTTCTCTTCCTTGCCATTCGTTACTGTCTCCAACAGCTTCATCCCTCCCTTTGCTCCATGTTCACCTCTTACTGTTGTGCTGCTTTAGTGAGGCATGCCTTACTGTTTGGACTCAAATGGTTTTATGGCATATTTTTCTGGGAGGTGGTATGGAGCACTCTGTCCCAGCTATCCTGTGCTAACAACAGTAGCTGCTCTGAGCAGCTTCTCCTCCCACATTGTCACTTCACTGGGAGACTAGTTGGACTGTCTCAGCTCTATTTATTTAGTACTCTGTGAAGATGTATCCTATTCCCCAGTCATTTGGGTGCATGTGATAGCAGATGGTCACTGGCTGATAAAAAGTCAGTGAGCTATTGGGAGCTTAACCAAGTCTCTCTCTTCTGCACTTACAATCAATAGGAATAGTTGACATGGAATCTGTGACTGGAGGACCTCTGGCTTTTTTTACAATGAGGAACACGTAGCTGGAAGCAGGAGCTGGCTAAACACAGTGACCTGCTAGGGGAGCAGGAAGGACGGTGCTGATGGGGAACCAGTGGTTGCGATTTGGTACCAGTAATAGCTCTGTTGTTCCAGGTAGTGCCTTGTCTGAAGGGAGAAAGATGCAGTGTCTCTCGGTGAATATAACTTCTTGAAGAGGAGAAAGGGCTTCACATGAATTTGAAGACTGGGTACTGTTTTCCCTGGTACTACTACAAATTATATTTTTCCAGATTTTTTAAAAATCTATTTGCTATGCGAAAGCTTTTAGTGCAGAAAGGGCTGTTCTAATGCAACAGGAAAGCTTAATATTGCTTATGTCGTCAGTACATATTTTAACAACCTACATAAAATAAAGAATATTGGTGTTGGAATTTTAGTTTTTAATTAAGGCTTCTACCCCTCTACAGAACTGTAAGAGTAGGTTTAGTATTTCTAGAGAGAATGATGAGTCCAGGAAGAACCCAGGAGAGAGAAAGGAAAACAGTCAGTGCAGGCTGTATATTTATACACTGAGAAATCAACTACCTATTCTCAAATTTATGTAATTCAGTTTAAACCAAAAAATTGAGAAATAATCCTATATTTTTAAAAAAAGTTGTTATATCGACAATGCATTATTTCCTTGAATAGAAAATAGTATTTTTAAACAAACATGCGTGTTATGATGAATGCTGAGATAAATTTAGTTAACATTATTTTCCTTTATGAAACATTTTTTGTCTCAGAGATTTAATTTTATGATAGAAAAGATTTGAAGAGACTTAATCCTTTGATTAAGGGAGGTAAATTGAGGTACTGTCTTATAACTTTAACATAGTATTTTCTCTAAATTTTCTTACACCAGTACCACTGAATACTATGACAGACTTTAGAAAGTGATGCATTCTAGATGTGGGTATTCATTTTTGTTGATTCAGCCTGATCCCCTTATTGTCCAGCTCTGGGACCTTTTGGAAACTTCCACAGCTTTTTCCTGGATTCCCTTCCCAGGCTTCCTTCATGTAGCAACCAGAACATGAGTGCAAGGTGTACAACTAGACCTCGTCAGAGTAGGAAGCCAGGACCTGCAAAGAGTGCATATCTGCGTGTAGCACCTGGAAAGTGCAACCAGTGCTTGAGCCTTTTGAGGGACAACAGCAACCTGGCACTTGGTTCACCCCTGGTCGGGCAACCCTGCAGGAAAGGAACTGAAAAAACATGCTCTTCAAATGCTTTCTGCCTTCCCAGGCTTTTCTGTTCAGATCCCCAAAAAACTGTTACTCTAAAGACCGATGTGATAGCTGTGTGAGAAAGAGACCTCAAGTTTCTGATGGGGTTTTAAGAGTTTTAGCCGTGCCCTTTTCCTCTCCTTAGTGCTTTTTGTGTGATGTGGTTCATCTTTCTTATGTAAAATAATCCTTAGCGAGGGGAGGGCGGTGAGTAACTCTGCCTCTCCATAAACCCAAGCACTTAAGTGCATTTCCAGCGTCACGTTGTGTGCAGTCTAGCTGAATTGACGTTGTGCAGCAAAGTGCAGCGGCCTGTCAGTTACGAACGACATGGCCTTTGCTGGCTCTTTTTCCAGCTGAAGAATCGTTTTATGGAGCTTTCATACATGGTCTTTGTTTCTAGCTTTTCTAGACCCTGCCAAGAGCAGCATCAGAATTGAAGAGGTGAAGTTCAGGGGAGGGTGAAAGCCTTCGGGGAGCTTCAGTACCACACGATGAGGGAAGCGGGCTGCCCACCGCAGGCTGAGAGTCAGCGTGAAGGTGAGCTCGCTCGAGGGGGCCAAAGTACTGAAGAAGAAACCTACTCAGCGGTACCCTGAGGAGAAACGCCGCCTCATCAAGGAGAAGGTGTCGGTCCCAACAGTAGTGCTGTGACGGGCTGTGGGGTATCACCTCCTCACGGCACCCCTCAGGCGGGGCCTGCAGGGACGGCGGGGCAGAGACCAGCCGCCCTCCCAGCGAAATCCGCTCCCTGGCGGCTTGCCGAGGGGGGGACACGCTTCCAGCCGGCAGCGGCACGTCCCCCACCCGCCTTCCTGACGAGGCCCCG